CTAGAGGAGGGAATCAAACCCCTTATACACAAACACTCAAACAATTTTGGAATCTAAATTGTATTTTTTCAGTTTTAAACAAAATGTACAAGGCAGAAAAAGTGGCATGATATGATTGAATCACTAGCATAAATGAAACAATTTCTGAGATTTTTTTCATCTTTTATTTTAAATAGGTACATGTATCACACAGGTTTTCAATGATGTTTGCCTTTTTTGCCAGGACTTTGAAGACATTGCAAACAATCCTGAAATAGTTCAGCTCAAGGAAGACTTCAGTATTGTGCAGCCCATATGTGAAGGATGCATCGGTAGAGGAATAAAACCTGAGACCAGGAAAAGTTAAAACGTAAAAAAAATGAACATTGAACTGTCATTGTCATGTCTGTTGTATTGTAAAAAAAAATTAAAAAAAGTATTACTTGAATTGGAATTCATTTTAATTCCAGATAAAGCACATAGATACTGACATATTTTAAAGAGTATTAAATCAATCCATGGTCACAGCACATTCTTTTTTTGTTTATAGGTGTCCGTAAAACAAACAAACAAAAAAAGAAAATATTTGATTTTTTTTTTGATTTTTTCGTCCTCCTACCCATTGGTTTTGTAAGAAAATTTCGTAAAACTAAATATATAATAACTATGGCCTTAACCAAAATGTTATGTCAACATACTAATAATAATCTTATTAAACCTGTAAAACAATGTATTAGTATGATTTCTTCCTCATATGATCAGTTCCTGTTATACATCCTTCCTGTTTGTCTGTACTTCTTAAAACTTCAAGTACAATAGATTTTAGGCCACTTCAATTTATATTTTTTAATCAGATTTTTAAAAGGGAAAAACAATCAGGCCATTGACTTTTTAAATCCTTCCATCCTGTCCTTACCCTGATTTTAAAAAATACACGTAGCCAGCAAATGCAATAATTTAAAGCAGTAAGGTGCTCTTTCCATTTTTCAGTTTATTTTTTTAATTATTTTTTTTCTGTCAACAAGTCATGTTTTAGACCATTTGGTGTCACATCTAAGAGAGCAAAGGGCAAATGGATTTACCATGTTTACATGCAGCAAGCTCTATGTCTAGCTTCACAAAAATTCAATTTGTGTACATATACTCTTTTTTAACTAGGCATACACTTTGAATTTCAAATTTTTAACAATAAAATAAAAAAGTGATATTCTTATATGTTTTTTGTTTGCTATGGGAAAATTATTTGTTTTAAAACTTTCTCTTGTCAATAAAAATGTAATAATTCAAATCAACAGTGATCAAAGGGACAATAAACCAACATGAACAAATAAGTTTGGCCTTACATAAATTTGTCAAATGTTTTTAACAGTTATAAAGGTTAAAATAACCAGCCTTGGATTATGTTTTATGGACTCATTTTTGGGGTAATACATCCTTAAAAAGAATGTATTATGTAAAAAGCAGGATGTAGCAAATTCTAATAAAAATACAAATCAAAAATTTCAATTGATGAAATTACGAGGTTAAATTTTTTCAAGGTTAACACTTGACAACTCTCATGACTTAATACAACAGATTTTCTACTTATGCCAAAAAAAATAATACATGTGTTTCTGCTAACATGCTGAAAAAAAAAATAGGGTAGGTAGGTAGGCAATATCATTTTAGTTTACAAACATTTTTTAGCTGGTTACTACTAGGGAATATGTCTGACTTTAACAGTGCTTGTTCCAAAATGGCATAAAAAGTGTTAGGGTAGGCACTAAAAATTAGGGTAGGTACATGTAGGGTTAGCGGAAACACATGTATCATTTTTTGGGGCCTAACTTTATATATAGATGTAAATTTCACAGGATACTAGGTTATATGAGGAAAAAGCTGATTTATATAAATTAAATTTCACTTAAGAGTGGTTTTTAACTGTATTCATTGTATTCCCTAGTGTCACTCAGTGTATTAGATGAAAAAAAATACTAATACCCTAACAAATTTTACACATTTAATGGACTTTTTGGGTTAAACACTGTTTAAATCCAGAATATTTTCCAGAGCCCATATCAATATAAACGGTTTATGTTTATCTATAAATATACCTAAAGACCTACCAACCCTATCTATTTCTGCTAGGAGGCAGGAAATAAGTATATATTTGTTCGACCTATTGCTAATACATTTGTAGTACTGTCTGTCAGTTGAATTTATTGACAAATTTACTCACAACTTGTCTAGACTACTTTTAAACATGTTAAGGATGTACTTAGGTGAAATTAAAAAAATCTAGAATTTAAAATTGGTACTACATGTATAAGTCAGAAGAGCATCAGTTAAGGAAAAAAATAAGCTAAAAATATTGATTGGTTATGGAACTTCTTTTCGAGAAAAATGGCAGGAAAAGGCTAACTCTGACTTTTACCTTATATTTAGCATTGGCCCCGACTTTTACCTTATATTAAGCATTGGCATTATTTGTGTCTCAAATCATAAGAAAAAAATCTAGAATCTGCTTAAATTTTGGAAATGACAAGGAGTCCGATCAAAAATTCCTAAACCTGACCTAACTACATCCTTAAATTTGAGAAATTAGAAAACAAAGAATTTAAAATGATTTGGAAAAAGTGTTCACTTATAAATATTGTACTAAAGTGTTACAGAATTCTATCACCAAACAGAAAATCTTAATATTAATAATTATAAGTTTTGCTTTTGTCATCATAGTCATTAACGGAAAATTTAGCATTTTTTTCTATTCTTTTCTATTAAAATTTTCAGACAAAAATGACAAATCATTCCATCATGTCCCTTGCTTTACAGTTTTATTTATTCCCTTAGGGTGAAAAGAGGGGTAACCATTAAACCTTTGACTACATGCATCTAAAATTAAAGAAAATAATCAAGATATATACTGATTGTAGTAAGATGATATATGTCAGCAAGGGCTGAAATCCTAGGCTCTAGCACAATAAAACATTGGAAAAGATGTTTTTCCTATCTGTTGAACATGTTGAAAACCATAAAACATTTTTCCCTTACAAAGATCTTTTTTGTATTTTAATTTTTTAAGTTTACATTTTGTACAAGCAGCCAGGGGGATACTTATACAAGTCATGTTTATTTACTTACAAGTTATTTTAAATATTTACTTGTAAAAGTAAATTTGTTTGATTTTAATTTTCAATTCAAGATTTGAATTATCTCCCCTTAATCTTCAAATTTTTTAAACTTACAAATTTTGTATGGACGCCATCACAAGTTGGTTGACCATTATGGAATACCTGTTTCACAGATGACAACGGATATGTTCCAATTGTCGTAACTACAATCCTGTCCTCTTTTTCCCGAATGCGACCTACCGAATTAGACTTATCACCAGGTTTGTACTAACATGAGCAACACACCAGGTGCCATATGTGGAGCAGGAATTGCTTACCCTTCCGGAGCACCTGAAATCACCCCCAGTTTTTGGTGGGGTTCGTGTTGCTCAATCTTTAGTTTTCTATGATGTGTTTTGTGTACTGTTGTTTGTCTGTTGGTCTTTTTCTTTTGGTTAAATATATAATTTACTTGGTTAAGTCCGGACAAAAAGACCATATATAATTTACTTGGTTAAGTCCAGACAAAAAGACCATTTTGTAAGCCCTGGCATCTACATGTACATGATTTTAATCTACAAGCTCTAAATCTTACCAATTCTAGAAAATTGTGTATAAATTAACCAAAAACGTATAAAGATCAGCCATCCTGCAGGTTTCAGAGTTCCAGATAAAAATTCACAAATTGAGTTTTTTACCTAACAAATTTTGATGTAATTGAGTGAAACAGTTTTTTCAATTTGCATTATCAATTCCAATTCACCCCTCAAGCAAATATGAAATAGGGTTTTTCACCACCAATCTCCTGAATGTATAGGGTTTTTTCATCATCTAAAATTTGAATTGAGGCATGTCATAATGTCATAATATCAAAAAAAGATGTTCATCCCCTTTTATCTTAAATATGTTTCTTTCAAGTACAAATGTATGTATGTCATGTATGTGATAGCCATTTTATTTGGTTTAAACACTGACAAGCAATTTTCCTGTTTAATTTGTGTCTGGTTTGTTTCAACTTTTCTGCTGGTGTTGTATTTTCTGTCAATTTTAATAAACTGGTGTTACTAGTGGGGCAGTAACTAACTACCTTTCTAGAAGCACATATGATCACCCCCTGGTACATGTATTTGTTGGAGAGTTATTATCATGATTATAAAAATTTGTTGACATTGATTGTCGGCTTTTCATTTTTCCAAGTATGGTAAATAGTCTTGAACAAAATGTTGTCATGATTTATAAGATTGAAGTGTGAGTCAGACTCTGCTTCATTATCATCACATTCAATATCAGAGGCAATGTGTAAATTTTCATCGATGATATCCATATGTTCAGCTCTCTCATTTTATATTGTCACTGCTGACAGCCGAATATTTTGGGTTCCTTTTGGCCCCAAACACTTGTACATATTGTAATTTTGTTGTCTCAGAGGCTTGCAGTAGACTTACTTTCAAACCAATATATATATATGTATATATATGAGACCCCTGTTTAATCAATTTTAGATCGCATAGTTTTGACATATATTTGGGTTTTTGAACGCTGCAATTGTCAATTGAATTGGGTTTTCAATTGTTTGTATTGCGTAATCACGCAAACACGCAGCTTATCTGGAGCTCTGCAGGTTTTGATCCACTTGTCAAATTTCGTGATATGGATAGTGCCAGTTTTAATTTGCATACAGTACTTTTGTTTCAATGATTTCCATTTTAACACTGAAGAATATTAAAGGTCTTGACATATAAGGGTCTGTCGGATAAAAGTAAACACACTTTTAAAATCATGTCAGATGTGGTTTGATATTTATATCTACATTTTAATATCAACATAATTTATACATATGACATTGGATAATCATCTTTGTAACATTTACACACCTTAACAATTAATCATCAAAAAGTATGCACTTCATCATCAAAAAACAATGTGACTCACCTTTGATAAAGGCAGAACTAAGAAGGCTCCCCCACCAGCAGCCTCTGTAATAATGGCTATGTATTTAGGATTCACACTGCATAATGTACTATCCCAAGATATTTTGGACACTCTAATGTTGTCATAGCACTGATCTCTTTTTAATGGTTTGCCAAATACATGCCGATATTTCGATGTTCTGATACGAAAAGCCATCTGAAAGAAAATTGTAAACATGTGACATGCCGGTAAAGCAGCGCTATTTCAATAACTTTTCAAGTTTCTCTGCAAAAAAATCTTTCTGTGACACAATAAATAAATTTGCTGTTGTTTTGTTAAACCTACCCTTGATAGATCTTTTGAAAAGGGGAAGGGTTGCCGGCACTCTTGTTGCACTGATAAATATAACGCCCTCCTTTGCTTCCTGTAACATACCCGGAAGCGTACGTGCGCATGTCATTTACTCAAAATGAAATCTTAACATCTTTTTTCTCCTTAAATGGAAAAGATCTTATCTTTGCATGACTGATGTTTCACTTTGCAATTCCATTTGTCATTATCAAATTTCTTTTCCTGCATCTTTTCACTCCAAGACACACTATAATCAATGATTTATCGTCTAATAAGTTCTAACGATAAAGGGGAGATAACTACAGTTATGTTTCTTGCACATTTGGCGGGAATCTTGAAAAAAAATCTAATTTTTTTGTGAACTAATAATACCATCTCCTTATTTTGGTCTATTTTTGTACTTTGGGCCTGACATTATCACAAAAGGAATTAAGTTTGATGTGTGTATTTCATCTCTTTTAAATTCAAATATGTTATTTCTTTTTAACCCAAAGACTGGTACAGATTAGTTATTGCAAGGCCCTGAGTGATTTGTATAGTTAGATCTTACTATACAAATCCTTGGTTATAGGTCCCAGCCCAAATGTATTGGATAACATACACAATGACTATACTAATCTCGAGCAGAGACATATGTCTCTGTCTCGAGATACTAATCCTCTCCCATACCACGTATGACAAAATGGACAAGTCATCATCATTGGGATCACAGGCCGCTATAGGTATATACAATGGACCCGTCCGCCCCTTTTTTATTTTTTTATTTTTATTAATTCATTTTTGATATTTTTGAGGCAATACTCTTTCATATCTAAACATTTTCACCCATTGAATTTGTTCTTGCTCTTATCCATATATCATATTTTAATTCAATAGCAGTTTAATGATAATGATAACAGTTTATATATGCTGCCCCTCCGGCCAGTAGTCTAATTCTGTCGGCATTAGATGACGCTACCCTACAATCATGGACAAACAAAATGACAGTGATTATGTAAATAAATGGGACTAATATATATCAGAGACATGTAATGCAATTGTATTAAATTTATCTGTATATGTGTATATTATGTATAAGTACAAGATAAATTTAACTACGTATTCAGACTTTAGGAATAATGGTAATATATATGCAATTAACATTATTCCTAGGTTAGAAAGTGAATTGAACTGGTATATTGTAGGTGAAGTTACTATTATATTTATACACACCCGTGATTGGAAACGTGGGACCTGGAACCTGATAAACTCGATTTAAGGTCCAAGTTGGCGGAATATAATATATACAAATATTTTATTTGATAAGCACATATAATAAAATATGTACGCTGAGGCTACAACCAAGGATCTGTATATCTTACTATAGAAATCTTTTGTACAGCATTTAAAACGTGACAAATACTGTAAATAAAACATAATAAACAACAAGTGATAATTACCCATACTTTATCTCATCAAAGTTTGCAGAATCTTTCAGTTGCTAAAATCTTTAGATTACTTTGCCTCCCTGTTTCAATAGTAAGAGAATGTGCACTAACTTCTATTTCTGTTAGCATGACAGTGATCTTCCATATTTTGGTATATCAAAGCTCAGGAAACATGGGTAAGCCAACTTTTAAAGTCAAATGATATGACTAGCAAATTTTGATATAAAATACATTGTGTAATAGGTTCCAGATGAATTGTGAACACACTGGACAACTAAATGTTTCCCTTTGAGTACGAGTACCTGCTTCCCAGAATATATATATTTTATATTATATGCATATCTGATACAAAAATTTAATAACACTTTTAGATATTTGGATGATATGTTGGCTCTCAATAATGACGACTTCAGTATGTACACTAAGGAGATTTATCCTACTGAACTGACTTTAAATAAAGCTAATACTAACCATGAGTACTGCCATTTCCTGGATCTTGATATCTATATCGTAAACGGGAAGCTTAATACCAAAATTTATGATATAAGAGGTGATTTTTCATTTCCTATTGTTAATTATCCATTTTTAGGTGGTGACGTTCCCTTGTCACCATCTTATGGTGTTTATACATCTCAACTTGTTCGATTCGCTCGTGTATGTAACAACGTATTTGTTAACGAAAGAAATATCTGTATTACTGAAAAATTATTATACCAGGGTTTTCGATATCACAAACTAGTCAAAACATTTACTAAATTTTATCATCGGTACAAGGACATCGTTCGTAAATATAAACCAACATGCAGACATCTAATACGTTTAGATATTTCACATCCAATATTTTATGGTAATAATTATCCTTTACAAAGCACAAAAATGTCGGCTTTCACCTTAAAAGCTAACCAAACCTTTAAACAGACTTATTCAGAAGGGATATAGTTACGATACTGTTGTCAGGTCATTAAAGATTGCATATTTTGGTATTAATATTGATTCACTCATAGGGTCTTTGCATCGGAAATAAACACTATTATTCTAAAACCAGTTGTTGGCATGATACGGGTTATGTTCTTCTCATATATTTTATGATGGTATGATACTAAACCCCTAAAGGGAGGGATTGTACTTGATTTTCATATGATGAAGACATAATCTTTCAATCAGTTTAATTGAGGTCTGAAGCTGGCATGTCAGTAACTGCTAGTAGTTCTTTGTTAATTTATGTATCATTGTCATTTTTCTTGGTTTCTTTTATTACATATTCTGACATCGGACTCGGACTTCTTTTAAACTGAGTTTACTGTGCGCATTGCTATGTGTTTGTTTATTCTACATTGGCTAGAGGTATAGGGGGAGGGTTGAGATCTCACAAAACATGTTTAACCCCGCCGCATGTTTGCGCCTGTCCCAAGTCAGGAGCCTCTGGCTTTTGTTAGTCTTGTTAGTCTTGTATGTTTTTGATTTAAGTTCATTTATATGTTTTGGAGTTTAGTATGACGTCCATTTTCACTGAACTAGTACACATTTTTGTTTAGGGGCCAGCTGAAGCCCGCCTCCGGGTGCGGGATTTTCTCGCTGTGTTGAAGACCAATTGGTGGCCTTCGGCTGTTTTCTGCTCTTCGGTCGGGTTGTTGTGTCTTTGACACATTCTCCATTTCCATTTTCAATTTTATATAAAGATAAGAAGATGTGGTATAATTGCCAATGAGACAACTAGCCACAAGAGACCAAATGGCATAGAACAATATTTATTTTAGCAATCGGCATGAACGAATGAATCAACCAACCAACCAATCCTAATTATTTTAGTGAACGGTTATTAGTATCGTAAATTAGCTTTTTAAAACGATTTGTAATCTCAGTTACATAGTAGGTTATTCTTTATTGGTCACATAGCTTCGAACTTATCTAGGTACTAGTATTTGTACATCCGGGGCTTTCAAATGTCAATGTTTGAGCGTTCCTGATGAAAATAAATCCACAAAATCTCTTCGGACGTACCACAATTTTCAATATGTTATTTCTAGTTGCATGGTTAATTCAAAATAATAAATAAAACAATGCTTTGGTTTTCACATACAACAGAAAGATTCAGCAAGTTTGTAATTCAGTTGTAGGTCTGATAACGGCAGATTGGAGTTACAAACAACATACCAAATGTTCTTGATATGAATATGTAAGTGATATTTGCCACTGTCCGTTAAATATTCTTGCATGCATCCATTCATGATTAACCATCCGTCCTGCGCCATAATTGAGGGTGTGGATGGGGGTTTACAGAATAAAGAATACCGAGTAAAAATATAAAGAATAGAGAAAAGTGGACCAACAAAATAAAGAATAGAGAATAATGAGGTGCTTAAATATAAAAAAAAAGAGAATAATGGGCAAAACGTATAAAGAATAGAGAAAAATGGCCTAAAAATTAAAGAATACAGAAATAAAGGACCCCCATCCAGACCCTTATAGTTATGCGAAGTTTTGAGAAATGTCAGATAATAAAGTACGTCGATTCTACAACATTATATCTAAATTCAGAATGATGATTGTATATAATATTAATGAAAAAAAGGTATTCCAAATCATAATGGTAAGATACCAAATTTAAAGTGCATCCAAAGCGTTTGAGCACAAAGTCATCTTCGGATAACGTCGACTGGACCTGCGCGGGTCTATTGGTAACGTCTACGATTATCTGTAACGTTACAATAGCGCCCAGGAGAAACCAACTTCTCTGCTGTCGAAAAGGAGCTTTTACCTCACGACCGCAAAAAACTAAACAGTCTACGGAGATATTGAGATTTTTTTAAAAGAAGAATTTCCATCAAAGACGAAGGTAAGTTGCTCTATTTCACGGGTAGACAGGATACATACTGCGATGCAGCTTCACTTGATTAGCGTTATAGTCTTTATACAGATTGACAGCGGCTTTGTTTGGTCTTTGTCTTAAAAACATTTTGGAACTAAATGAGTGAGGTGGGCATTATACTTGGTATCGATGTAAAAAGAAGATTTTTTTTCTGTTTTAGGATAAATATATAAATGTTCAAATGAGGTCAAAAATAAATTAAACGAATTATATATTTAAGCTAGCTATTATTTGGAACTGTAGTAGCAGCTACTGTAGTGAAATAAATCGAAGTAAATTTTAGTGAAGCACTTCTGGCTTAGTTGTTGGTATTACACAATAGTCAACTCTAACTGTTTTAACGGTGGGACTGAGAGCAAGGAGCTTAGTTACTCATATTCGTCCACCACACGAGAAAAAGTCTACAAAAGAACTAGTTATCAACATTAACTAAAAAAGTATGGAAGAAGACCACAAACTAATAAATCACAAGTTGTATACCCTTCACGTGAATACTCGCTAATAAACTTATGTTCATATTAGTTCGCCTATTTCTGGTTTCCATCTTGCTGAACTTCAAGTTTATACATAAAATTGAGAATGGAAATGGGGAATATGTCAAAGATACAACAACCCGACCAAAGAGCAGACAACAACCGAAGGCCACCAATGGGTCTTCAACGCAGCGAGAAATTCCCGCACACGGAGGTGGTCCTTAGCCGGCCCCTAAACAAAAATGTGTACTAGTTCAGTGAAAATGGACGTCACACTAAACTCCAAAACATATAAATGAACTAAAATCAAAAAAACATACAAGACTAACAAAGGCCAGAGGCTCC